TGAAAATCACGAAAACGATTTTTCTCGACGTGAAAGCTGCCTAATTACCGAACAATTATCGGTGCAAGAAGATCGAATAATATTTTATTCGTCGATATTCTTGCAAAAATTATTAACAAAGTGCAAATAATAAATACAATTAATAATAAATACAATTTTCTGTGGCGTTTTAAACCAGGGAACATTCGAAATTCAGTTCCCGCCCGGGAACGATGGACAATAGGGGGTTGATCTGCTTCGCGACGAACCGCAAACCGAAAGGGTTCGCAAACAGTTCCGCCAATAATTGTGACGGCCGCCGGTCCCGGCTGATTAATCGAACGATCCCGTGAATTCGCAGACGGTTTCTCGCGGTTCCTCCTAACGCGAGGAGCCCGGGAAAAATTCGCGTATCCGCCGGATCGGTTTCGGCGACCGGTTAAAATCGATCTTGATACCGAAAGCGGGCCCCGGGCACAGGTGCGGCGGCCGAACGAACAGCCGAATGCTCGCCACCGACAAATTTCAGCCGGTCGATTATATTTATCGCTTGATTCCGGCCGGCAGATTACATTATTTCGATGTTTAAAAGCGTCACGCGGGCCCGTCCCCGCGTGTTTCACGGCGAAGATACGGCGTTTCGATGCGGTGGCGGGCCACGACAAAATATTCAGCCGGGTTCCCGGGATCTCCGAGAGCTAAACGGACTCAAATAAAGCAATCTCCACGATCAGACAACGACCACGCGGCGGCGTTTGTCTTTCATCCTCCATTTTGCCTCGGCCCGTTCCCACTTGCTATCTGCCTCCGCAGCAACCCCCAACCCCTTCTCACGATTTTGATGACAGTGGCCACTGCTCGCTGTGTTTGCGGATCCAGATTCCTCCTCTTTGTCAGAGGGGGAGCACCTTTTGACAAAGTGGAGGCAGTAGTCGCCGGAGGAATTAATTGCATTCGACAATATTTACGTCCTTTCGTCTACGAGCTTCTTCTTCTTCTTCTTCTTCTAACTTCTTATTTTCTCCGTATAGTTCTGTCTCGGACTCGCCACCGGATCAGACCGATTCGTTATCTATTCGGCGGCGGAGATAGATGTCGCGTGATCTCTATCGAATCTTTAAAGATTCTCCGTGGACTAGCTGGAACACGGCGGTCCTGGGAACACGTGGATGATCAGTTTTAGGTTCGTTGGGAGAGGTGTGACGATCTTGAATCTTCGTTGAATATTACATCATTCAATTACGTTGTATTTCAGTTGCTCAGATAATTGCATAAATTACATTTAATTACGTCGGATTTGAACTGGATGTTATGTTCTAATTGTGTCACATAATGAAAAAGAACGGATGAAAATAGTATGTTATAGTGAGTAAATAAATACAGTAAATAAACTGGAGGATCAACATTGGAAAAATGCTATAGTCAACGGAAATGAATTATCGAATCATTATTAATTATTAAATAGATTGATTTCACGTGTACATTAGAATATATAATATTCTCAATTATATTTTCGATATTTTCAAATATCACCATATTTTGAATTTTGCGATGAAACTACAACATGATCAGAGAATTTAAACGTTCTGCATGATTTGAAAATTGAGAAAGGGTGAATTTTCCATCGAGGAGCATGGACGGGCTAAAATTACACGAAGATAGTAATAGTTAAGCATATAAATGGCCGAGGGAAATATTCGGACGGGGTTCGAGGCCGACAAAAAAGGAAGGAGTTACATACCGAATTGCTCGTAATTGTTGTGAATACAAACCGCGGTTTGTGTACCCTTCTATTGTTCGTTGTGCAATCGAATCGAATTGTTCCCTTCGGTGAACCCTGGATGAAGATTTTGCAGTTTCCGTGCAACCGTGGCTCGCGCGCAAGCCGGCGAGACCGAAGTTTACTCTAACCATTATAACGATGATCGGGAAGGGCGTAACTGTTTTCTCTTCCTTTTACCTTCGTCGCGCCAACGATTATTCGTTTGATATTCAAAAATCAAACAGTGTGTGTCTGCTGCACCTCTGTGTCCACGAAGATGTGCTACTTCACAGAATTGTGTTTGCGGTATTGTTCTACCGTTGTTCGCGTTGCGATAGAATTTTCGTTGATTTTTAAAGGTAACTTCGCTAGAAAAGAAGCACGGTAAATTCTCCCTAATTTTCCTTCTGTTTGTGAACAAAAATCGACAATTTGGGAAGAGGAGATACGATTATTCGAGACTCGCGACTCATCTTTTTAGTTGCCTCAGTTAATGTTTAGTTAATCTCCTCTTCCTAAATTGTTCATTATTGTCTAAAAGTTGCAGGTAAATTAGAGAGAACTTACTGTATTTTCGAGAATAAATACTTGTACATAAAAAAGCATCGCGAGTTAATAAATCATTTTCAGTGAATTATTTTAATCTCGATCTTCTGAAATAGAGAATTTAATATTCTCATTTTGTATTGTAAATAGTATTTGAAATATTTCAAGTAATTGTAAGTTTTTCGTATTTTTCCAGTTTGTTATATTGTAAAGATGGACGAGAAATTCGATATTCGAACTCCAATGTGCCGCCATTTTGTTAATTATTGAAATATTAAATTGATCTTGCTCTCTTTTAATTTTCTTAGGACAACCGCGACATAAATAAATATAATCCTGTATAATATAAATATTCGTTAACAGAGAGGAAAAAATATTGAATTTAATAAGAAAAAAATGGCGTCTATACGAGAATACGTTCAACTCAACAATGTAAATACGACGAACACTTCTGTATCGACGAAATTGGATTTACTTGAAACTCCGTACGATTTCTGCTACGATCTATCCGTGAATAAAGAAGTTGATCTAAAAGCGTCTAACAGAAGCATCAGGAATCGTGAAAAGTAGAAAAGAAAACTCTGAAGTCACGTCGACTGATTTGGTGCTTCTACCTACGAGAAGTGCTGCATCGAGTTCGAGCCGAATCGGGTCCGGGCGACTATTAATTAAATAAGGAAGGTCCGACGAGATGCCAATATCAAAGATAAAGGTGAAAAAGATGACGAGAAGGAGAGCGAAAGAAGAGTCATCGTCGGGCGAAGGACGCAGCTAGTTCTCAAATTGCAATGAAACCGGGCACCGACGCGTCGCATGGGTTTCGTATGACAACCAGACCACCGATGATGATGCTGTTTTCCCTTCGTCCCAAATTATACTTTGTCTCGCGCTACGAATTCGATATCAGCAATTGCAAAAGGCCCCCGATCCGCAGCGAACAATTCCGAAACGCGGCGGCGGCGGCCGATCGATCCGCGATCGCTGAAAGGAAAGCATTCGAAATCGGGACCCATGCGAACGGGGTCCGCGCGAATCAGAATTCATCGGGATGAATTTCCACCTCGGATCGTTCCCGATCATTACCTGGTAATTACAGACGATCGTTTCAAGTATATAAAATCATTTTATTATTTAACACATGGCGCTTCGGCCCCGGCGGTGGGCGCATTAATAAATTATAGGTACATGACTTGGTTCGTGTTCCCATTAACGACGCTGAATTATCCTCTTAAAGCCTTACACACCTAAACGCCGCTATATTACAAAATGTACATCGTCTCGGTTATTTACAAAGGTCGTATAAATAGTTGTAAAACTACGATAAACACGTTTGCAATTTTATGCTGGAACCGGGAATAACGAAGAGCCTCGGGAAAATATGTACTTGCGATTATTTACAGAGAACGGACTCCGTTTCGATCCGACGAAACGGATCTTAAGACTATGGATCACAAACTCTCACGATCGATCACGCTTCTTCGATCATTCTCTCGCGTCTCTCTACGCTCAACGATCACGACAATTTACTATCTAATTCAACTTCCGGGGCTGCGACGAGCGGCGGCCGCGACGACGACGACGACGGACATTTTCTATCGTTTTCTAATGAGAATTTGAAGACAACAATCACTGGACTGCGGACCTTTATGCGAAACGAGCATCATCTGCCTCGATTGAAACAAAAGGGAGACAGATGCGTTTACTGTTTCGCATTTTTGCTCGTTTTTCTCGCGAATGCGTGAAATCCGTGGTTTCATTCGTAACGTACAATTGTGGCTGTAAAACGCTGCAAGTTACAATTTCGAGAAATTCGAGTTGTCTATCAAATTTAATTTTCAACATTTATCTATAGTATTTTATAGACAGAACGGAATTATGCGATTTGAAACGATACTAATACGCAGTGTCAGTGATCAGAACTTCGACGCTAGAAATACCAATCCCTAAACGTGACTAAATTGTATATATTGTCTTATAAAAATGACAAGATTTATTTGAACTTCCTTCGATTTTTATTACGATGTAAAATTGAACGAAAAAGTTCATATAAAGACCTCCGACATTTTCATAGCACAGTAGAGCCTCGGTTAACCGAACTGGATTTTCCTCGACCTTTGTTATTTAGATCTTTAATTACTCCAAGCAGTAACGATGAGAAATTATAAAAGGACCTCGACTTATATATATATTATAAGTAATATATTATAAAATATATTATACATATAATAAATATTACAAATATATTATCATAAATATATTTATTATATTATTATATGATATATATTTATAAATAATACATTACAAAATATATATTATATACATAATAAATATCATAAATATATTATTATAAAAACATATTTATCAGAAATAAAAAGAAGTTAACTATCAATTTTGAATTCGCATAATCGAGGTTCTACCGTATCAAGAACAGTAAAAGAATAATTCCGAAACCAGTGATTCCGTCAGGTTTGGTAGTACTAGCGACAAACGACGATATCTCGGAAGTGAAGCCATGGGACTCGCGGCGTCCATTCTCGCAGCCCTAACCAGCGGATGCGTTATGCATCCAGATCGTCCTAGCATCATCACCTAGCATCGACGTTCGTCTCGGTACAGTGTCGCACCGTAAGCCACACCGAAGGCACCTCTCCTCGTGAAGATCCCTTCAGGAACCTCTCCTTGGCAAGATCCCTTCATGAACCTCTCCCGAAGCTCATTGCAGGAGATCGTAGAGCGCGGTGATATAAGACTGGGCCATTTGAAGCGTCTCGTACTTGGATAGCTGTCTGTCGTTCCCCAAGGACGGCAGATACGCCCTGAGCCTGTCGAACGCCTTGTTCAGGTTCTGCATCCGCCTGCGTTCCCTCGCGTTTGCGGCCAGCCTGCGTTTCCTGACCACGGTGGAGCTGACGTACTTGCCGCGCCTCCTGACGACGTCCCGGCCGCCGTCGTTCTCGTCCGAACGGACGTGATCGGGCCCGTCGCTCATCTCGACGTCGTCCTCGCTGTCGGCGTCGACGATCCTGTCGCTGCTGGAGTTGCTGACGACGCTGTCGCGCCGCGACTGCGCCTTGTCTAGATCGGGGTCGGCCTCGGGGTCGAGGGTGCCGTCGGTGTCCGCGTCCATGCTGTTGCCGCCTTCGGCCAGCTCGATGCCGCCGGTTTGGGCCGGTTGCTGGGACCCGACGGCGGCGTGGCTCCTCTTCGCGTAACGTTTGCCGAGCTCGTCCACAGAGCCTAGGAGCCGATAGGTGACCGGTGCGGCGACGGTGTCGGGCTCCGAGGATATCGAAAGGGTTGTCGCCGGGCTGACCGACCGGAGGCTGGCCGTCGGGCTAGGCGTGTGCCAGCCGTCGCTGCCGTTGCTGTCGTAGACGATGCACTGCGGCACCGTGAACGTGCTCACCGGCGGCAGGTTCGCCTTGCCCTTCGGGTACGACGTGTAGCTCGGCAGGTCCAGGTAGCCGCAGGAGACCACCTCCTCCTCCCTAGGCGGGAACATGTATCCGTAACGAAACATCTCCTGCAGTTCCATGCCGCGGACGCCTCCGCCCCCCGCGCCACTCAATTTGCCACTTGTAAACTGATTACACGATTCCGGGGCCCCGGCTCGGCGGCGACGATTCCGCTGACTTATTATCCTCGCGGCCTTTTGTACCTTGATATCAGAAACGCTGCACCGAATGAATATATGTCTCTAGCTGGGAGCTTCCTCGGACAAGGGCCCGTACACACGCGCAGGGATCGACCGTCGGGGTGGTTCTGAAGTAGAGTGGTTGAACGCCGGCCGATTTATGCGTTCTCGGAGCGAGGCACTCTCGTGCAGCACGTGCCGCACGACCAATCGCTGGACGGGACCGTGCCCCACCAGCACGACGGTGTACGGCCCGGCTAACCGAGCTCGACTAAACGCGCGGCTAGCGCAACAGGTGACCCGGCGCCTACAATCTACACAATCGGCCGTATAGAACCGCACAGTCATTACCGGCGCGGCGGTACCGCTCGTAATTATCCCCGCAGACTAACAACGTGCCGGGGAGAGAACGTTGCACTTGAGCGGAAAAACCGTTTCGCGCGGACAACTTGACGCCGAGGGTCACCGACGGCGAGTACCGTCGCCTTCGGGTTCACCCGGTTGGCCGATGCATCGACTCGGTGCAACGTGCTGTTCGAATTAAATTGTGGACAATTTTGGGTGGAGATTGGTCGACTTCGACGGACGATAACTCTGCGAGAAATGATCGTAGGGTGATGACTGTTTTTTAAAATTAAAGCTTGGAACCTCTATTTTAAGATGGTATTCCTGGATTTTTATGTTCGACGTGCCCTCGACACTGTAACCCTTCGGATGCGAGGCGATGTTGGTTATTTGGTCACGTTGGAAACTGCCAAGTTTGACGAAATGAACGGAGTTGGGAAAATTTTGTTCGGGGATGCCGTTTGCGGTGGGATGTAGCTCGATTCTTTCTCTTTAATTTGAGGTAAAAGAAACGTGACTGCGATTTTTTCTCGCGTAGTTACGGCGCTTTGAAGCGACCCTCGCGTTTTCGTCGCGTAGCGCCGGGAAAAATTGGGGGAATATGTTGTCAGCTGTTAAAAATTGAGGGAAAAAATGTCAACTATTAATAATTAGGAAAATAAGTTGCCAACGGTTAGAAATTGGTGAAATAACAAACTATTAAGAATCGAGGAAAATGATCTTAACTTCTGGTTTCATTGATACTGGACTAAGTTCGTGTAACAACTTCAGACTTCAAGTTTATGCATTAATTGAGATCTAAATGATAAGACTTGCATATTTATCACGCAAAAATTATCAGAACGATTTCATTAGTCCTGAAAAAAAATTAGTGATCACAATTCGAAGCGACAATGTCTCGAAAAGTGAGGACACGTTGCATGTAACGTTCTTCCGTCGCAACTGCGACAGAGTTCTGATCCAGAATCGATGTAAATATCTCGGCTTCGTTATCTCGCGGGATCGTAAGAGCATGGGTCAGCGAGACCGGTGACTGGCGAATCTTTTCCAACATTCTTCGACTGATCAGACGAGGCGTCTGCAACAAGGAACGCGGTCTATCGTAAACTCGCCTTGGGAAAAGAACGGATCGTATCTACAAAAAGGGTGCAAATACCTCAGGGGCGTAAGGTCCAGTTACATCTTTACTCGCTCAATTAGCGAAAACAGGTAGGATAAAGTTTGCGGCAAGCATGACGGTGGTCTGGAGCAACCCGATCTCTGTCATTCCCTTCAGACGCAGCCGTCTTGGATTTCGGGATCGCCTCGCCATCGTCCCAAAATTCTTCCTAAGTAGCGGAACGATAATCCTCCGCTTAAAAACCTTTGGTACTTTCGGTACTTTTAACCAGGGCAATCGTGCGATCGCTAAAATTGTTCGCCGTTTGCTGACTTCTTATGTGGCAGAACTTTTCTGCGACCTCGGTGTTCCATCGTTCTTTGTCGCGTGGCTTTCGAAGCAATTAATAGACCGCGGAACTTTCCGCGAAGGAAAAATTGTCGCGGTTGATTTGTGAAGAATTTAAGTTACGTGGAAATAGGAGTAATACAATATATATGTATAAATAATAGAATAGAATATGTATATAAATAATAGAATAATAAAATAGAATAGAATATATATATAAATAATAGAATAATAAAATAGAATAGAATATATATAAATAATAGAATAGAATACATATAAATAATAGAGTGATAGAACAAAAATAATAGAATAAAATATATATAAATAGTAGAATAATAGAATAAAATATATATAAATAATAGAATAATAGAACAAAAAAATAATAGAATAGAATATACATGAATAATAGAATAATAGAAAGTCATCGATTATAATTCCAAAGTTAGTGCAAGCTATCGTTTCGTTATTTCTTCTGCAAACAAGAAAAGCGGATCGCCTGCAGCGAAGATTCTGCTCGATTTAAATCAGAGCGTGGCCATTTTCACGCGAGAATATTTTTCCATGGTATCGGGCTGTAATTTAAAAATTGATCGCTCTCATCCATTACCTTTTTGCTTCGGCACGAAATCGTGACGGACCCAATAATTAGGGCCACAAAATGTATGCCCGTGTCTATCCTTGCTCTATTCGCCATCAGCGTTACCCCGACCGTCCAGATTCGATATTTTTTTTCCCCCATTTGGCTTAGTTTGTCGGTGCATTAATCCACTCATTCTGTTCCACGGCAATAAACTGAATCAGAGACAACTATTCTTAAAGTTTTATTTGATTTCTGATTGAGAGGGTCGCTTCGAAATGCTGTAACTTCGCGAAGAAAAATCGCAGCAGCGTTTCTCTTCTCTTAAATTAAAGAGGAAGGTTTGAACTTCGTTCCATAGTAAACGGCATTGCCGAAAAAAATTTTACAAAGATTATACAGTCCGTCGAACTTTTTTAATATGATCTTTAATATGACAAACATGGCCTTACATTTAAAGAGTTACAGTGGCAAGGGCGCATCAAACTTGAAATCCAAGAATATCATATTAAAATAGAGGTTTCAAGCTTTAATTTAAAAAAATAGTCATCATCCTGCGACGATTTTTCGCGGAGTTATCGTCCGTCGAAGTTGGCCAATTTTTATCCAAAATTTTGCTATGCCATAATTTCTGTCATTATGATTTCATTTCATATGCACATAATATACAATAATATCGTTATTTTAAATGGACCAGTCGACAGACTAAATTTTTGTTAACGTCCCTCGGGCATTTAACAAACGGAATGGATTTTCCTGCGAACCGCGATCCTAGGCAGCCATAAATCACGAATATTAATGAGCCGCGCGCGGCACAGGCATAACCGGGCCAAAGATTTGTTCACCGGAGGGATTAACGCGAACGAATCGAGAAAAAATGGGAGACTAATTGTAAAAAGGAAGAGGATAAAAGGAGACGGGAGAGGAAACGAACGGCGGATGCTGGTCCGGCAAAGCAGCGCCGGAACGGAGTCCGCCGCGAGGATACGCCCTGGGCGTGAGTCGAGTAATTAAATACAAAGTGCACTCATTTGTGAAGCTCGGTGGCAAATAACATGTTAGCCGCCAACTAGCGGTAATTTATGAGAGCGTCGTGCAACGCGCTGTCTGCTCGCTGACCCTCCACGAAGCCGATTTCTTTCGGGATAAACGCATACATATACATACACACACAGCCGATGAATATGGATCCACGGATAGAGTTGTAAGCTTTCACGGAAAAATCGACGAGCTAAATGCAGATCTGTAATCGAAATTCTTCGCATTCGTTTTAACTTGTGTCCGCCTTCTTGCTCCTCCCATCGGCGGCCTTTCCGTCCGCCCGTGAAACTTTTCATCTCATTAGGAATTCATAGGTGGTCCTGCGTCTTCATTTCGGATTCGGTGAACAAGTTAAACGTAAAATAGAAGATAACAAGATTTTGTTATATAGATGAAGGTGTTGCTCCAATAATGAAACGTTTACTGCGAGTAGCTCTCTTTTTAAATAAAGTGTAATTTGGAAAGTATGAATTAAATTAATATCAATATGAATCAGTATGAATCGATATGAATCGATATGAATTAATATATATCAATATGAATCGATATGAATCAATATGAATCAATATGAATCGATATGAATCAATATGAATTAATATATATCAATATATGAATCGATATGAATCAATATGAATCAATATGAATTAATATATATCAAT